GGGAGTGCTGTGCCCAGACCTGTGGGGTGAATCTCCCTGGAAATCTGTCTCCTTAAATCAGAACCTGATCATTGTTAGTTGAGTGAGAGTCTCTTCTGTGCTAAGCATTTGACCTGTAAATTTTCATTTTACGGATGAAGAAACTGAGGGGCTCAGAGAAATTAAATTACCTGCTCACGGTCCTGAAGCTAACTGCAGAAGTAGGGTTTGAACCTAGTTGTGGGGGCCTCATACAGCTTTCAGTGCCACTCTCCCTGATTCCAGGAAGGGTAAGGAGATGTCAGAGATAGTCATTTTCTTTTCTTTTTCTTTTATTTGAGGCAGGGTCTCGGCTCTATCATCCAGGCTGGAGTGCAGTGGCATCATCACAACTTACTGCAGCCTGGACCTCCCAGGCTCCAGCCATCCTATCGCGTCATTAAAAAAATTTTTTTTTCTTTTTTTGGTACAGTGCAGGTCTCACTATGTTGCCCAGGTCTTGAACTCCTGGACTCAAATGATCCTACTGCCTCAGCCTCCCAAAATGCTGGGATTACAGGCATGAGCCACCGTGCCTGGCTCTACACTACATTTTCCATCCACACCTTTTCCTTAAGTCAGCACCTTGATAACTGGATCAGAGCTACACACGAAATTGGAAGTGAACTTTGGAGAGAGTGGCTTAGTCATGACCTGTGTTTATCTCCTCTTGCCCTCAGTAAAGAGGATGTGTAATAGAGTAGGTTACTATACTCTTCGTATCCTGATGCCATAGTCTGTGCTGCCCAGTCACACTGAGAACAATACAGTTCTAACAGATAACCCGTTGTCGGGTAAAATGTCTATTTCTAGGCATCCCACACTCTTCTCTTGAGGGCCTTTGCAGCAGCATTTCCCATGTTCCATCAGCACATCTGCAAAACATGAAGCAGCTTCATTCACTCAGATACCCCTGACCTTGTGTATGAAGGGAAATGTTTCTGGTTTTGTGTGTGTTTTCAATGACGAACATTTGCTTTCTTTCCTTCCCTCAGTTTTTTTTTTTCTCATGATGACATTAAGAAACAACAACAAAATGCTGCTTGTCCCCAGACTGTTTGAATTTAAAACTTGGAATCTTAATTTGCATAGACAGTAGTTCTCTGTAAGGAATGTGAAACGTTTGACAGAATTTCCTGAAGGAACAAAGAACCATGATTCCCTGATTAAAACCATGTTAAAACCAAAAGCAGACTAGATCCAAAAGGTCCTGTAAGAGTGTTTGTTGTTTAATCAGATTTCAAAGGCAACACAAGCTGGATGTTTATGGCATCACCAAGGCCTTTCTGTGATGCTCATCCTCAGAACTTCGTCTTAAGCCTGTCTTTAGTCTGAGCTGTTTCCCGAAGGCTTGGCCTTCCCCTTCGCAGCCTCAGTTACTCCGCAGCCTGAGTCACTGTAACAGAGGAGAAAGCCCAGGCTTCCATTCTGACAGGCTGCAAACATTTATCTGGAGTCGTAATTGTCATACTCCCACGTTATTTCCTTGCTATCTTCTGCAGCGATGATGAAAGATGCCTGGGGGAAAGAAAATAAAACAAAAAAAACCTTCTAGCATATCTGTGCCTAAAGCAGGGTTTGTCAACATTGACACTGTTGACATCTGGGGCTGGATACTTCCTTGTCATGGGGGCCGGCCTGTGCATCACAGGGTGTTTAACAGCATCTGTGGCCTTTAGCCTCACAGTTACGACAACCAAAAATGTCTCCAGACTTTGTCAAATGTCCTCTTGAGGGGGAAATTGCTCCCAGTTGAGAACCACTGGCCTTGATTTTGGTGGTCTAGAATTTGCAAGCTGCTTCTCTGCCCTGTGCATATCCAATCCTCAGCCCTTCCGCTAAGAACAGGAACCTGGTTTTCTTTTTTTCTTCCTACCCTCCCTGCCTTGAGATATTGCTGCATCTGGACAGATGTGCCAAGTGCAACTCTGGCTCAGATGAATAAAGTTTAAGTCAAGCATAAGGCTCCATGCTCCCTGACCGTCCCTCTTACTGCTGGCCTGGGCGGCGTGCTGGTGCTGATAGGGGCAGCTGTGTGAGTAGCAGGACCGTCCTGGAGACAGCGGTGCAGAGGGAAACCATCCGGGTGGGGTGAGCCTGGCAGCCCCAGCCGCAGGTCCTGGTGGAATCGACAGTTGATGGATCACCATGCTCTGACTTCCGGGCAGCCCAAGCTTGCGATGGGCAGAGAGCTGTCTTGTTTCTCCCTTTTGGAACCTGAAGGGCAGAGATGGGGTGAAGTTGCCAGGAGAAGCTTTCAGTTGGATCCTAGCAGCCAGCATGCAGCCCTTTCCCAGGGCTGGGGGTAGGGGAGAAGCGTCTCTCTCTGGGCCATATATATTGGCCAGAACCCTGAGCTGGGTGCAGAGGGCTATGCTGTAGAGGCGGGGAAGGGCACTGGACCGGGTATCTCGAGACCTGGGCATGGTTTCCGTTCTACCCCGGGTAGCAGCACGATCTTGTGCAAATGTGTCTTCCTTCTGGTCCTCATATTTCTCATGAAGCTGACTTCCAACTAGAACATTCTACCTTTTGATTTTTCTCTTGATTTGTAGACAAAGATGGTACTGTTAAGAGATGGAAATGTGGCCTTCCTAAATTTGCATTGAGTCCTGAGTCCTGATTTGGGGGCAGGTGTCTGTGAAGGGCTTGGGGTGATTCTGTGGCTTTTGCCCTATGTTTTTGGGTCTTAGAGGATACCTCAAGAAATAGCATTTTTCTTCCCTGAACAATTTGAGAGATGAGGCCGTGGTTGAGACTTTGAACTTTGGAACTTGCCCAGATGTATCAGGTCAGTCATCCTCCTCCCCTGGGGCCAGTAAACCAAGTATTCCAAAGGCCAGGTGGTCTTAGGGAAAATGACAAACCCTGGAGAGTGAAGGTCATGGCCAGTGGGGACTACAGAGGATCCCCGAGCCACACTGGAGAGGGGATGGTGCCCTGGTTTTTCTGACACTGCCCATAAGTGCTCAAGGCTGGTTTCAACCCTGCTATACTAACCTGCTGACGAGGGCGAGTTGGTGGCCCAGCAGTGACAGCATAGGGATGACAGAGGATGTTCACACCACCCCGTGCCCCTCTGAGCTCACGTCGGAGGGTCTGTTGAGATTACAGCAGCCCTTGATAGAGCTCAAAATTTGAAGGACAAGCCAAGAAGATTGGCGCATCTGTGAACTGTCTCCAGTTGAGCCTTGCGTTAGAAAAGGAGTTACATCAGGTCACCGATGTCTTCTTCTGACTCAGTGATCTCCACAGCCCCCTGGATTCTGCCAAGCCTATGGAGAAGAGGGACCAGCAAGCCTCCCCAGCACCCCTGCCATCCGTTGCTTTTATGTTTAAATCAGAAGCTTAGGCTCCTCCGTGTAGCTGCTCTTTTTCATGCCTGTTGCTTGGGTCTAAGCCCCATAGCTTAGAGAGCTGTGATGTGCTTGCAGTACGCTGCCCCACCACCCAACGCACACCCAGCTTGTTTGGAGGTCAGGTCATGGCTCACCATAAAAACGGTGTGAGTGGCCAGCTCTTTTTTCATTGTGGCTCTGGGCAGCCCAGCCCAGCGCTCGGGTGGATGCAAGGCCTGAGAGTGAACTTTGTTGAGAATGATGACACAATTCCAGAAAAATGCAGCGTCTCGCAGATACGGCTTCTGGAGCTTTGACTTAGGGGGAGGGGGCTGGAGAGTCTTTAGTGTTTGGGTTCCTGGTGGTTCTTTGCCCCAGGGATGTGTGTGTGTGTGTGTGTGTGTGTGTGTGTGTGTGTACACATGTGTGTGCGTGCGTGCGTGCTTTTTCATGGGCACACTTACTTTCAGATGTTCACATGGGCTCTTTTTGAGATTCCCCAGGGGAAAAGGAGAAAGTACAGAAAGCTGTGACACCTGATGGAAAATATTACGCTTTAGTCAACAGGGCTGATGTGTCTCCTCTGACTTTGCCTTTAAACCAAACCCAACCACAGCGGGAGAAGATGAGCCACACATGGGGCCTGCTGGGCTGGTGACTGTCCCCTGAAGGGGGACTCCTGTAATTCTAAGCACCTTTGAAAAATGCTTTCAGAATTATCAACTTGAGTTGGAGGGAGCCTGAAAGGTCATCTTGGCCCAGTGGCTTGATTTAAAGGAGAAGGAAACTGAGGGCCAGAGAGGACCTATGACCCTCCCAGGGTTGCACAGCTAGAACTCAAATCCTGTCTCTTGATCCCCAGAGGAGGGTTTGGTCTATTCTGCCCTACTTTAGTTTTTAGACAGTGTATTGTAACAAGTTTTAGATTTTTTTTTTTTTTTGTACTTTGTTCTTATTCATTCAGCAGCTCTGAGTGTCACATACTGTTCTGGGGACTGGGGATTTACTGGGGAACAGGCAGACCTGGTCCTTGTGCTTGGGGCTTATAGGCTAATGGGAAAGGCAGCTTGGAACAAGAAACTGTGCATGGGATGTATAGTGGGTGTGGCTGTCTTATTCCTGGCCAGTATGGGGAGGGAGAAGGAGCGGGAGTTGATGACTGGGGCACGGAGGCTGTTATTTCAGCTCCATGTCCTGGGTCAGATGCCCAGTCCAGCAATCTGAGTGTGGATGACTCTGGACTATGTCTCCAGGAGGAGGTGGGATTCACAGGCAGAGACATATCAAAACAGGGATATTGGGATGTATGCTGTATTTTGTAAGAAAAAAAAAAAAAAAAGGGAAAACAGGCCAGGTGCAGTGGCTCATGCCTATAATCTCAGCACTTTGGGAGGCCAAGATGGGTGAATCACCTGAAGTCAGGAGTTCGAAACCAGGCTGGCCAACATTGTGAAACCCTGTCTCTACTAAAAATGCAAAAATTAGCTGGGCATGGTGGTGCATGCCTGTAATCTCAGCTACAAAAGAGGCTGAGGCAGAATTGTTTGAACTGGGGAGGCTGAGGTTGCAGTGAGCCAAGATTGTGCCATTGTATTCTAGCCTGGGCGAAAGAGCAAGACTCTGTCTAAAATAAAATAAAATAAAATAAAAATAAAAGAAAATAAAAGAAAAAACTGGAAAAACAGAGTAGAGCAGGCAGCTCTGTATGTGTATGTGCAGGTAAGGTCATCAGGTGGGAGGAGGCCAGGAGATGAGCCAGTTGGAAGCCCTGAGGTGGCCTTGACTTCCCTGATGGGAGGAGAAAGAGCTGCTAGGAGAGGCAGGATCCAGGCAGGGCTGTGGCACAGGCTTCTGGAGGGACAGCAGCTGTGGCCAGAGGTGGATCTCTTATTCTCAGGGGTATCAGGGACCCAGGCTTCTTCCACTTAGAACACAAGATAGCAGGGGCCTTCGTGGCCAGTAGGATGGAAGCTGACGCACAGGACACTCCTTCCGGGAAGTCCTATCGATTTCACCTAACTCCAATGACCTCTCCCTTCCAAGTCCCTCTGCACATAGGGGCTCTTTCTGTTTGGACTGAGTGGTGGCTTTGGAAAGGCTCTTGTGTGATTTTCACTGGTGTGGACCCTCCCTAGACACTCACTTTGTGCAACACACCGTGCTGGCTCATTATCACTGAGTCATGGAGCAGGTGCCGAGACTCAGAGAGCTCTATGGCTGTTGAAGGTCAGGGTCAAGGTGGGACTTCAGAGAGCTCTGTGGCTGCCCAAGGTCAGGGTCAAGATGGGACTTCAGGGAGCTCTGTGGCTGCCCAAGGTCAGGGTCAAGGTGGGACTTCAGGGAGCTCTGTGGCTGCCCAAGGTCAGGGTCAAGGTGGGACTTCAGAGAGCTCTGTGGCTGCCCAAGGTCAGGGTCAAGGTGGGACTTCAGAGCGCTCTGTGGCTGCCCAAGGTCAGGGTCAAGGTGGGACTTCAGTGAGCTCTGTGGCTGCCCAAGGTCAGGATCAAGGTGGGACTTCAGATAGCTCTGTGGCTGCCCAAGGTCAGGGTCAGGGTGGGACTTCAGCCTCACCAGACTTCAGCCTGCTGATTCTCCTAGATGCAAGCTCCTTGAGGGACAAGGTGGTGAATTCTACTCTTGCTTAGAGCCATCATTTCTCATGCATTGTGCTAGGAGTTGTAGGTACACAGATGAGCAAGGCCTGGTTCTGCCCTCTAGGAGCTGACCAGGTAGTAGAAGCTGGGGTGCAGCTCTGGGCCCAGGGAACAACCACTTGAGGCAGCCAGGGAAGGTTTCTTGGAGGAGTGACACAGGAGATGGCTTGGGCTTTAATCTCTCACTTTGCTAAACCTCTGTTTCCTAGTAAGTAATCTGGATGTGACTGTGAAGCTACTGCAAACATTGTGTAAAGTAGTTATTCAAGCAAACCAGTTGGAACTTTCTGCAAATAGAAGACGCCGAGGCTTGGTATTGACAGTCCTCTGTCAGGAGTGGATCCCAGTCTCGGCCCACCCTCCACTGCACACCGTCCCTGGAAAGCCACCCAGAGCCACCCTGTCTGCTGCCTGCAGAGCTGGCCTTTCAGTGGCTTTGATTCGCCTGGAGACTGTGCATTCCCAGCCAGATTTGCCTTTCCCTCTGGACGCTCCCCCCACCACACACACACCTCACAGCACCAGCCTGGCAGCTTAGGAAGGGATGTGAAACCAGCAGGCGGGAGTCTGGAGTCCTGGCTCCAGTAGTCGCCAGCCACTTCTTCTTCCCTGGTCCCTCATCCTCCATCGTCCAGGCCCTCTTCTCTTTGCAGAAAGGCTCCTTGGGGTTCAGAGAATGTAGGAAACTTCTTGGAGCTCACACAGCTGAGTAACAACCAGGCCCTGCTGCCTCAGCACACTGTGTATTCTGTTGTTCCCTGGGTGCATAAGGCGGGAGGGTGAGGCCCTGGACCTCAGCACCCCATCCCTCACCCCATCACCTCTTTCTTCTATCTCTGAGGTAGTGACTGTGTCTCTGGTAATGGATATTTTGCTTCTGAACATCCCCCTCCATTTATTGAGAGATAATTCACATACCATAAAATTCTCCACCTTAAAGTGTAAATTTAATAGTCTTTATACATTCAGAATTTTGTGCAACCATCACCACTGTCTAGTTCCAAAACACTTTCATCACCATCACCCCAAAAAGAAACCCTGAATCTAATAGTGATTGCTTCCCACTTGCCCCTACCACAGTCCCTGGCAACCGCTAATCTGGGTTCTGTCTCTGGATTTATCTATTCTAGATATTTCACGTAAATGAAATCATACAATACATGGCCTTTTGTATCTGGTTAATTTCACACAGCGTAGTGTTTTCAAGGTTCATCCATGTTGCAGCCTGCCTCAGTGCTTCATTCCCTTTTGCGGCTGAACAATATTCCATTGGGAGGATGTCCCACAATTTGTTAATCTATCCATCCACTGATGCTCCATTCATTTTAACTTCAGTTACAGCCTCCTGGTGTCTCCTTGAGCTCTCTGGGGAGTGTTTTTATTTTTAATTTCTCTAATGGAAACTTTGGTCAGCGTTCTCCACCTGTAGACTGGGTAATTTGACATTTTTCTAAGTGGCTTCTGGAAACACAGAAGCAGTAATTCTGAAATGGAAAAGAGAACATTCTCTCCCATAGGCCCCCCTGTCTGATGTAACTGCTCTGCTGGCATGCCCCAGTGAGGGTGGCACCATCACAGGTGGGAGAGAGTGTGTCTATTTCAAATGTGTTGGGGCAGGAGCCGGGCACAGTGGCTCATACCTGTAATCCTGCACTTTGGGAGGGTGAGGTGGGTGGATCATAAGGTCAGGAATTTGAGACCAGCCTGGCCAACATGGTGAAATCCTGTCTCTACTAAAAATACAAAAATTAGCTGAGCATGGTGGCAGATGCCTGTAGTCCCAGCTACTCGGGAGGCTGAGGCAGGAGTGAACCCGGAAGGCAGAGGCTACAGTGAGCTACGCCAGCCTGGGAAACAGAGCAAGACTGTCTAAACAAAATAAAACAAAGCAAATCCCCAAAAAGTGTTGGGGCAAAATGTCTGAGCCCACTGGTGAAGGGGTGCTGTGGATGGATGCCTCTGACTGGTGTGCAAGTCTACAGTTCTGGCCATGCCCTGGCTGTGACAAGGACAGGCTCTGGCACAGCTAGTCCAAGAGCATGTTTTGGGGTCCTTGCTCACAGTGTTGCCTTCATTTTCTTTTATTTTTTTCCCCATTTATTAAATGAAAATGTAATTTACATACAGTAACATCTACCTCTTAAGAGTGCACCGTTCTGTGTGTTGTAACAATGTGTACACCACGTAATTACTACACATGATGTCATATAATCACCACCACAATCAAGAGCACTTTCATTGTCCCCTGAAACTCCCCGAGACTCCCTTGCAGTTACCTCCTACTCCTAGCCCCAGCCCTTGGCAAACACTGGTCTGTTTTTTGTCTTTACAAGAATGTCATATACATGGAATCGCACAGAGTGTGGCCTTTTGAGTCTGATTTCTTTCACTTAGCATAATGTATTTGTGATTTGTCCGTGTTGTTATGTATATCAGTTTCCTTTAATTTCTGAGCAAGAGTTCAGGGTTTGTTTATCCATTCCCCAGTTGAAGGATGTTTGGGTTGTTTCCAATTTTTGGTGATTACGAATAAAGCCACTATAAGCATTCACGAACAGCTTTTTCTATGAACATAAGTTTTCATTTCCCTTGGGTAAATATCTAGGAGTGGGATTGCTGGGTCACATGGTAGGAGTATGTTTAATTTTATAAGAAACTTGCAAACTGCTTTCCAAAGAGCTATACCGTCTTGCATTCTTACCAGTGATGCATGAACGTTCATTAACTTTCATTATGTTCTAGGCTCTCAGATTGATCAGAGCCAATATGGGCTTGGCGTTTTAGTTGTGAGGAACACAGACTATGCCTCCCTTGCCTGTTTTAGTTTAGGTTCCCCAGAAGTGGACTCCAATGCAATGATTTGAGTATAAGTAGTTTATCTGGGGGACAGTCCCAGGAAACTCCGCTCCCAGCAGGGGAGTGGAGAAGGGAGAAGGAAAGGAAGGTAGCTGGTAAAGGGTGTGTCATCCGGTAGGAAGCCTGGGTTTCTAGAATCCATCCTCTGTCAGTCATTGACTGAGGGCTCCTGCGGGAGCCTCGTCAATTCCTTGCCACTCCAGTCTGCCCCCTTCTCAGGGAAAGCTGGCTTTGCTGGCCTTGACAGCCAGTCTCAGGTGAAAGGTATCTGGAAGTCCAGCCCAGGTGCAAGTGACAGCAGTTCCTTCCATCCTCTTTCCATGGCACTTCCTCTTTCATTGTGGCAATGTCTACTGGTGGCTTCCCTCTCTGGATTGTACTTTCTGCTTATTGTGTTTTCTTCATATGTTCCCACTACCAGCTAACTGACTCCCCAAAGTTGAGTTGACTCCCCAAAGAGAGAAAAATTGGTTGGTGAGTTAGTCACTGCTTTTCTCTTGGACAGAGCCCTCCATTTAGTCATCTGATAGGCAGACCCATCATTGTTGGCTGCCCTTGGGTCAAGTGGCCCTCCCTGGGCCAACCAGCTGTGACCAGGGAGGTGGGTCAGAGAGTTCAGAGCAGCACTGTCCAGTAGAACCTTCTGTGATGATGGAAATGTTCTGCATCTTTGTTGTCCATTATGGTAGCTACTAGCCATGTGTGGCTATTGAGTGTTTGAAGTGTGGCTTGTGCTACCAAGGAACTGAGTTTTTGATTTCATTTAATTTTAATAAATGAAGATTTAAATTCATATAGCTGCATATGGCTAGTGGCTACCATAGTGGACAGCATAATTCTAGAACATGGGTCCAGAAGGGACCTTGCCCTCTTCTCTCCACTAAATAATGTGATATAACATTCTCTTGATATCAGTTTTTTAAAAAGCCAAATAACATCTGATTTGTGATTCTGAATCTTTAACATTTTTTAACCATCTGCTTCAAAAATGGGAAATATCATTATTTAAGGCAATGAAGTTAAAATTGACCTAATGAGATGTTAATATGATTCTTTTCATGCTGCTCTCTTTAATACATTTCCATTTTTATTCTTGGAAACTCACTTTCATTCTGTACATTTATACCTATTTTGTGTTGTCAGATGTATGCGTGTGAATTACTGATTTTCTTCCTCACACATGGAGTCACTTGGCAGCCAATCAGCCCACCAGGAAACAGGTCTGAAGTACTCTCTTAGAATTCAGAAGCACAGGTGGTGCCCCGACAGCAGCCTAAGTGTGAGTTTCTGAAGTCAGAGCCAGATAGGGTTCTGTGCAGCCTGAAGATTATATGTGAATGTCTTTAACTTTGGTTTTAATATTACTTTGCCTTGGCTTCAGGAAATGACCAAGAGATGCCTGATTAAAATTATTTTGGAATCATTATAATGGGATGGAGCTTCGAGTAGCATTGGACAGGGAGTCAAGGAACCAGGGTTCCTACTCAAGCTGTGCCGCTGACTTGCTGTCTTTGTGATCTTTAGCAAGTAACTCTGCTTTTCTGAGCATTGCTTTCTTTATCTGTAAATAAGGAATTTTGATTACACGTGCATCTAAAAATTATTCCATGGCACCCCATTGCAGGAGATATTAATAGTTACATCTGAGGAAAAGGGTTCTGTGGTCAAAGTTGTTGGGAAATATTTCTTACTCTATCACCTTCTTGGAGAGTCACAATGTACATTCATGTATCAAAGGCTCTCAGTAGTCCTGCAGTGGAATAAAAAAAATTTTTTTTTTCACCACATTAACAGGGTTTAGTTAACATTTAAGCATGAAATCTCGTGTGTGTGTGTGTGTGTGTGTGTGTGTGTGTGTGTGTGTGTGTGTGTGTGAGATATCTCCTGGCATCTTCTAGAATACAGTTCTGTAGACTCATCAGCTTGGGAAACAGGGATGGATGATTCTTCAGACTTTCTGAGTTAAATGTCTCAGTGTCCTTGGACAAGAAACAAAAGTCCCTTTTCAATCAAGCTCTTAGCTTTTTCTCTCTCTTCTCTCCCCCTCTCCTCCAAGTATTAAAACCTAGTTGATCACTAATTGTGGGTCTTTTTCTTTTCCATGACACACATTCTGTGAGAGAAGACAGATGGCAGGCAGGAGGCAGATTGGAGAGAGGCGCTCAGCATGGCTTTTCTCAAATGTGATGCTCCTCAAGAGAGTCTATATTTGTTACCGAAATGAGCCGCATGCTTGCATGCCACCGTGAGTGCTCTCCATTGACATTTGCAACCTGTTTCTGTGTCATTTTGCAGCCTGGTTCTGCTCAATTCCAGCCAGGTGATTGTGATTAGGCACATCTCTTCCCATGACAGGTGACAGAAGCTGAACTCCAACTAGCTTAAGCAGCACAAATAAACAAAAACCTCCAGGGCATTTGTTGGCACATGTGCTTGGGAAGTTGAGTCCTGGGTGGGGCTCAAGTCCTACCATCTGGTGTTTGTCCTTCTCTGTTTCCTGCCTCCTGCTTCCTACAGCTCTTGGCTCTGCTGCTCTCTGAGTGTTGGCCTTCCTCTCCTACTACCTCTCATCCTTCTCCCCATCATGGCAAAGATGGCCAGTGGCTGTGTGTCCTTAAAGTTGCCATCCCTCAGCAAGAAAGACCCCCTGTCCCTGACATACAGTAGCTGTATGTCAAACGTCATCAAGGCATGATTCACAGCAGGGCTTGGGTTTTGTGTGCACATCTGAAATTGATCGCCACGGACAGGGGTTCACGTTCTGTGCTTCACGAGGCCTGAGTCCTATGTGGGTAGCAGGGCTGTGATCAGCAGACTGGCATTGTAAGTGGGGTAGGACAGCTCTTCAGCCGTGGGAGGGACCCTGGGTGGACTAAAGGAACACTTACCCGCCACATGCCCTGCCCACTCCCTTTTCCTCCTGGCCAGGGGTGCCCTGAGTATCCTTGGAGTGATGTTCCTCACCATCATCTGACCACCAAGAATCATTTGTTCAGGAAACTAAGGTCCACAGAATAAGGCACAGAGAGCTCAGTGTCCCTGAGAGCTCAGTGTTCCGTTGGGAAGGCCGACTCAGAGACAGCTTTTATACTTTTGTGTTACTCCGTGCTGGGCTGGTGGGGGTTCACAGCGGCCTCTTTGGGCAGGCAGTAGCCTCGCCTGATCTTAACCTGTGTTGCCAGGAACCCAGCAGCCTTCCCACATGTTCAAGCTCATGTTTCTGATCTCAAAGTGCTCCCCACTAGCCTTTAATTTTGGGGGCCTGCTCCGGTGCTGGGCTCTGTCCTCCTCGCTTTCTCTTTCTTAGTTTTCTTGTCTTAGTCAGGTATTATCAGTCTGGCGTACAGGGGGGGAAACTGAAGCTCAGGGTAGAGAAGGCCTTTGCTGAGGCTCCCCAGCAGATAAGTGGTAGATCAAGGTGTTGACCTAAAGTTGGTGCCTATAGACATAATATTTTTATACCCTCACATTTCATATGTTGAAGCCCTAACCCTCAATGCGAGGTGGGGCCTCTGGGAGGTAAGTAGATTAAGATGAGGTCATGAGGATGGGGCCTCTGTGATGGGATTAGTGCCCTTAGAAGAAGAGGAAGAGAGACCAGAGTTTGCTGTTTCTATCACGTGAGGACACAGTAAGAAGGTGGCCTGCACTGAGGAACCGAATGGGCCAGCACCTTGATCTTGGACTACCCAACTTCTGGAATCACGAGCAATAAATTCCTGTTGTTTCAGCCACCCAGTCTATAGCAGCCTGAGCTGACCAATACAGTCAGGGTTCTCAACCTCCATTGGAGTGAGTGTCTGGGCTCCACTGTACTAAAAGCAAGGAGTCCT